CTGTCGCACCCACTGCATCCGTTCCTGTCGCACCCACTGCACCCGTTCCTGTCGTCATACTCACTGCATCCGTTCCTGTCGTCATACTCACTGCACCTGTTCCTGTCGCACCCACTGCATCCGTTCCTGTCGCACCCACTGCATCCGTTCCTGTCGCACCCACTGCACCCGTTCCTGTCGCACCCACTGCATCCGTTCCTGTCGCACCCACTGCATCCGTTCCTGTCGTCGCACCCACTGCATGTTTCCCGTGTGTTGGGTGAGAGGCTGCCTTTCTTGAAAAGTGAGAGAAAGGGCTGTTGTGAGAGGGGACGTGGGGATGGAGATAACCCTTTCAAAACCAGAGCCTTAGGGGCTGAGGCTCCGGAAGCGCACACTCGTAAAGCACTCTGAAGCCTGAGGACCCTATGGATAGCCTTTGAATAACCCCAGGTGTGCTTCGCACATGCCTGTACTTGACCACAGATTTAAACCCATGTGCACACATGCACGCTCACACATTTATGCACAGATGCAGCAGTGCATACACGTGTACACCTGCACACTGACACATGCACGTTGACGTGCACACCCAGTTGAATGCGCATACCCACTCCCACAGATATGCACACGTGCACACCCACACAATCGAATGCACAGAAACACCCGCAGATATGTACACGTGGACACCCACATGATTGAATGTGCATACACTCACAGATACGCACATGCACACACCCACACAATGGAATGCACACACACACCTACAGATATGCACATGTGGACACCCACATGATTGTGCCCCCCACAGATATGCACATGTGCACACCCACACAATTGAATGTACACACACACCCCCACAGATAGGCACACGCACACACCCACAGAATAGAATGCACACACAACCGCAGATATGCGCACGTGGACACCCACAGGATTGAATGTGCATACACTCACAGATATGCACACCTACATACCCACATAAATGCACACATACCAGCAGATATGTACATGTGGATACGTACACGATTGAATGTGCATACACAGATATGCACATGTGCACACCCACACAATCAAATGCACACATCCCTGCAGATATGCACACGTGCACACCCACATAATCGAATGTGCACACACCTGCAGATATGTACACATGCACACTCACAGAATCGAGTGTGCACACATGCACACGTGATCGAATGTGCACGCACCCACAGAGATGCACATGCACACATCTAATCAGATGTGCACGCCCACAGGATCGTATGTGCACACATCCACAGATGGCACACGTACACACCCACACAAACGTGCATACCCCCCCACATATGCATTCACACTAACACAAATGTGTAGACACCCGCAGGTATGTACACATGGACACCTGCACAATCGAGTGTGCACACCCCCCATGGATATGCACACGTGCACACACAATTACCTGTGTACACACCCCTGCAGATATGCACACATGCGCGCACACAGGATAGAATGAGCACACACCCACAGATAGCACACGTGCACACCCACACAACTGAATGCACACCCCCCACAGATATGCACACATGCATACCCAATTGAATGTGCCCACACTCAGAGATGCACACCCACACAATTGAATGTGCCCCCCTACAGATAGCACACATGCACACCCACAGAATCAAATGCGCACACACACCCACAGATATGCGCATGTGCACACCCGCACACCCACACAATAGAATGCGCACACACACCCGCAGAGATGCATAAGTGGGTACACCCACAGACGTGCACACGCACACATCCACACGATCAAATGTGCACATGCATCTGTAGACATGCACAAGCAGACACCCACACACCCGCAGCCGTGCACACCCACATGGGCGAATGTGCACACACACACCCCCACAGACAGCACACGCTCACACCCACACAATTGAATGCATACACGCACCCGTTCACAGGTTAATTGCTGCCTCAGCTATGAGCTCTTTTTCATTGAATGTTATGGCAAACTGTTCCAAAGGATAACATAGATTGACATTCATCTTCATTTTATGTTTCCTTATGGTTCATAGGAGTTTATTGGAAAATTAGCAACATACACATCATTTTGGGGAATGGAAAGTGAGGCAGAGTAAGGCAGAACACCCACTGTAGCATTATAAGCAAGTAGAATAAACTGATAATACCTTCACCAGCAATGCACTTTTCCTAGCGGAAATAAATTATTTGTATAAATAGCCTCTCGATGTTTGTGTGTTATTTAGTTATAACATCACATTTTTCTTTTTTACATACGGCACTTTACTGCTAGTACTGAAAATGCTTTTTCTGACATTTTTTCAGTGATTGTCATTTACTTCAAATATGCAGCTAGAGCTAATAGAAAAACAGTTAAAACAATTTGTTGTAATGGTGAGCTATTTATAAGCAAACATTTATAAAAGATCTTCTGTAAGACGGCTTAGACTTCAAAATACTTATCAGTCTTAGAGTCATTCAGATGTTTTTACAACCAAAAGTAGAAGCACCTTTTAATATTCATGCTTAATATTTATAAAAACTGAATTGGAGGTTTTGTTTGTTTTCGAGAAGAAGCTGCATTTGTAAAAACAGGAAAGTGCCAGTTCAGAGGTGGCGTAGCGCGCCGCCTTGGGAGGCGTGTGTGTGGCCGTAGCTCTGTGAGCACACGCGTCAACCCGGCGTTAGGATACCCGGGCCCTCCTTCGTAGTGTGAACACTCTGGCCGTGTCCTGCAGCTTCGCCTTCTTAGCTCCTTGCTGGGATTTTCCAGCATCCCTTTGACTTGTCCTCTTTTGTCCTTTGGGTCTGAGGTCACCCTGGGCCTCCTGGCTCTCCGTGGAGCTGAGTGTGGGTGTGTCTTGCTGGCAGACAGGTTCCGGGGCTGCAGCATCCCCATTGCCCACCCGGATGTTCCTGGGACTGTAGGCTGCCAGCTGGCACAGGGCCACAGCTGCCGTCTGCTTCTGCTCCTCGCTGCTGTCCACCGCACGTGCGTCTGGAGCCTCCTCGCTGGGGCCTGTGGGTGGGGCCCCGTCACCGTCGAGGCTGCCTGGCTTGGTCTCAGGGTGGCTGGGCACATCCTCAGAACCTTCTGTCCCAGTCTTCTGTAGAGCAGCAGCAGCAGGTTCTGCAGCTCGTGGTTGACTGGGGAAGGGAGGCCTCAGAGCCGGGGCGTTGCAGGGGTCCTTCACTGAGAGATTGAGAGGAAGGTCCTGCAGCTCTGAGAAGCTGGCGGTTTCCGCCTGGGGGCTGCCTTGGTACGTGGGTTCGTGGGTGGCTGCCGGATTTATCTCTGATTTCTTGGAGAGGTTGAGGGGACCCATCCTGGAGCTGTCCTCCGGACTGGAAGGCGCAGCCTCCAAGACGAGAGAGGTGCTTCCTGTCGGAGCGGGGGGGTCTCCGTTCACAACATTGAGGCTAGAAGAAGCCAAGAGAAAGCTTAGTAGGAGCTTGCTTAGAAAAGCAACTGCGTGAAGCAGTTTGAACAAGTATAAACTTGGCTCATGGAACCCAACCAGAAACATTCCCTTGGTGGTTTTGAAAATGACATTTTCTTACCTTATTGGAGACTCTGTTCTGGTCTCAGGAGCCTGGGCGGGTCGGCATTCTGCGACTTTCTTCACAGGCTTGAAGGCTGTGAGGCTTTGCTCCGGCTGATAGAGTCTTCCCAGTGCACTGGAGGCCGCCTTGTTGGAGAGGTCGCACAGGCCTTCGCAGGTCTGGCTCGTCTGCGTGAAGTTGGTGGGGCTTGGCCTCCCCGGGGAGCCTGTGGCTGCGCTCCCTGCGCGGGGGCTCATTTTGGACCCTTCCGTGTCTCTCTGCCCAGGCTTGGAGGAGTCTTTAGCCTCAGGAATTGGACTTTCGAACTCGATGTGTTTTCTGTTGGGGTCTGAAGGGTTTAACCTGGAAGGACTTGAGGCTGGATAGACCAGGGTGGCTTCTTCAAGCAGGTGAGAGCTCTGCTCTCGGGTGAGGCCAGCGACAGGTGGGAGTCTGAGACCGTAGGAGGAAAACGCAGTCTCTGGCCTGTAGAATCCGTAAGGAATCGGCAGATTAGAGGGATATTGCTGGAAAAACCTGTAATGATCATATGTGGCTGGAGATGGACTCAGGTGCTTAGGGATTGGCCCCGGGTGAGGCAGAAAGTGTCTCGGGTCTTGGGCTCCGTAGACTGACAGCAGGGGCGCGTCGCACTCGGGCGAGCTCCCAGCCAGCAGGTAAGGCGAGTAGATGGTGGCCAGTCCGTGCTCTGTGTAAAAGTGAGGCGGGTACTCTGGGATTGTGGGGTGCATGTAAGGGGAAATGGCCCCAAGCCCCTTTGTAGATGAGATTTTATGTGGAAACTCTGGTGGAAGGAAAGGTGAGCCGGCTTTCCAGGGGTAGCCAGGAGCGTGGAAGGCCGACTTGGTGTGGAAGGAGGTGGCCTTGGCAGTGGGGTTGGGTAAAGCCAGTGTCTCAGGCGCCTCAGCGCTGTCTGGCCCCTTAAGTCTGTGCTCGCCGACTGGAACAAATGCAGAAGGCCGAGCTGCGCCTTCCAGAGCAGGCTGGGCACCGAGGGCGGCTTCCGGAGCTGGGCTCTCGCAGGCTGATGCCCTGTGGAGGGCTGGCTTCTGTGCTGGGCACCTGTGGGTTCCCCGGGCTTGCAGCTCCAGGTTTTCCTTGATGTCTTCCCTGGCAGAGCTGTGCTGAAGCTTTGAGTCAAAGGCGGAGACTCCGTTGGTGGCAGACTTGGAAGAGGCTGGCTTGGCTGTGGCGTCGGGCTGGTTGGTTTGCTTAGGGTCTAGCGAGTTAGATTTAGAGCACTTGGGAACTCGATCCTGCTCTGATACTAAAGTAATCGAGTTTTTACAAAGACCATACTTCATGTGATTAAAAAGATGGGACTTCTCGTTGCAAGTAAAGGGACACTGGAAACATTTATACTTGAAGGGCTTTCCCGGAGGCCTGGGGATGTAATGCGGCTTTTTTGGCTTCCGCTCTTTGAGAAGACTCATTTTCCTTCTTACGCCTCGGACTCTGGCCGTCCAGGTGGCGTGATCACCGTCGACGCCTCGTGCACCTCGTGGTTTCTGAAGAGGCACCTCCCGCTTTGCCTCTTTCCCGAGCGCTTCTACCGGAAGCCAGCTCTGTGTGCTGAGGGTCTGGCGAGAGCCTCTGTCGTCTGGCAGCGGGGAGCTGCAACAAAGAGCAGAGTCTTGGTGTCAGGACAGCGAGTGAGGGGTCGGCGAGAAGCCGGCCTCAGCCTGCCACGCCGCCGCAGGATCCCGGGAGCAGAGCCCCGGAAGGGCCGAAACCGCCTGCTCCTGAGGTCACAGAAGCAGCCCTGCCCTTGGTACCCTGGCTGCTAACTCCCCCCCATGTTTTCTGAGTCTGATCTGAGAGTCGCCTCGGGGCCTAGAGGTGGAGTGTGGTGTGTGGTGCGTTGAGTGTCTGTTCTGAGAATGCCTGTAAGCCTTTGAGTTTTGGGAACTTCTATCCTGTGACCTGGACCTTTCCTTGAAAGCACGCTGCTGGGGGCTGAGGACCCCGAGCCGCCTCCCAGGGTCTGGACAGAGTCCTGTCCCAATGCTGCCTGACTCTGCTTGGAGGGTTACACGCTTGAAACAGTGGGGGTGTGGTTGGCCGCACTCTCACCTGAAATGCAAAGGGGTTTGTGGCCGTTTCCCCTTAACGTGTACCCCACAGTCGCAGAGTGACCCCTCACTTTTACACAGAGCATGGGCTGGCCACCGTCTACTTGGTCCTACCTGCTGGCCGGGAGCTCGCCCCAGTACAGCGTGGCCTGCTTTCGGTCTGCAGAGCCCGAGACCATGGATGCTCCCTGCCTCCCCTGCGGCCAATCCCTAAACACTCGTGGCGGTTTCTGCCCTCTTCAGCCACGTTGTTGGTGTATTCCTAGTGTGCTTATTTAAAAACGAAGAACATTCGAACACAAGACTCCACCCTGCTGCTTCTAAAGTCAGCTTTATCATTAAGTAGCATTTACGTTGTCTCAGATAGGAATACAAATGCTCTGTTTATGTTGACTTAAATGGTTGAAATACTGTTGAGGTGAATTTGTACATCCTGTGAGTGACAGCAGCATTGTGAGACATGCTTTCACGGTCACCCCGTTCCTGCTGGCCAGGAGGCACGGCCAGCAGCACCTGCCCATCCAGGTGCACCTCCAAATGGAAGAGCCAAAGCTTTGCCACACTCGTGCCCGAGAGGAGACTGGAGTGAGTGGTGTCTGCTTTAGAGATGGTTGGGCCGTGGGAGGAAGCTGTCCTGGCCCTTAACCTTTAGGGAGTGGGTTCAGCCCTTGGGCCACACCTGCTCAGGTCCCGGGACCCACGAGGGGCTGCGCTGTGATGTCGAGGCTGGCCTGCTCTTTTGGATTCTTCCAGAGGGTCTCTGTGTCCCTCTTACCAGCCCCAGGTTTCCTTCCGAGGCTGCGCTGCACACCGCTGGGGCTCTCGCCTGCCTCCTAACCCAAGGCTGACAGCAGAGGCTCTTTGTTTTTTTATGAGACAGAGTTTCTCTCTTGTCACCCAGGCTGGAGTGCAGTGGCGCAGTCTCGGCTCACCGCAACCTCCGCCTCCCAGATTCAAGTGATTCTCCTGCCTCAGCCTCCCGAGTAGCTGGGATTACAGGCGCCCACCAACACTCCCGGCTAATTTTTTTTTTTTGTATTTTTAGTAGAGACGGGATTTCACCATGTTGGCCAGGCTGGTCCTGAGCCCCTGACCTCAGGTGATCCACCCGCCTCAGCCTCCCAAAATGCTGGGATTACAGGCGTGAGCCACCACGCCCGGCCCAGAACAAAGGCTTTGAGAGTCTGGGGCTCTCCACGTGGCAGCTGGGCCTGGAGCGACTCAAGCAGCAACTCTGCCTGGGAGACAGCGTGAGTGGGAGATGGGGTGGAGGTGCTGTGGATCTGAGCACTTTAATTCGTATTAAAAATGTAAAAAGGAAAAGGTCTTTTAGCGTCTAAATATTTTCAAACAGCTTAAAAATAAAGTTAGATGACCCAAATGTCTATCAGTGATAGACCGGATAAAGAAAATGTGGCACATATACTCCCTGGAATACTGTGCAGTCGTACAAAGGGATGAGATCATGTCCTTTGCAGGGATGTGGATGGAGCTGGAAACCATCACCCTCAGCAAACAAACGCAGGAACAGAAAACCAAACACGCATGTTCTCACTCGTAAGTGGGAGCTGAACAGCGAGAACACATGGACACAGGGTGGGGAACATTACACATCAGGGCCTGTCTAGGGGTGGGGGTCGGGGGGAGGGAGAGCATTAAGACAAATAGCTAATGCATGCAGGGCTTAAAACCTAGACGATGGGTTGATGGGTGCAGCAAACCACCATGGCACACGTTTACCTATGTAACCTACACGTTCTGCACTTGTGTCCCAAAACTTAAAGTGTAATTAAAAAAAAAATACATAAAAGTAAAGTTAAATGGAGGGCAGGGGGCAGTGGCTCATGCCTGTAATCTCAGCAATTTGGGAGGCCGAGGTGGGAGGATCCCTTGAGCCCAGGAGATTGAGGCTGCAGGGAGCTGTCATCCTGCCGCCGCACTCCAGCCTGGGCAGCAGAGTGAGACCTTGCCTAAAAAAAGGCTAAATGGAAATGACTTAACAAAACTGTTTCAACTGCAGCTTTTTTTTTTTAAGGAATGGGCAGATGTGCCCATTCTTGAGTCTGCGAGGTTTTCTGTGTAGATATCAGGGTGGCTAAAAGTCGAGTGAGAAGCTGCCCCTTGAAAGTAGAGTGGTGTGTGTGGAGCCTAGGAGGCAGCTGTCCCTGAGGCAAGGCCGCCTCCCTGCACCCCGTGTCCTTCCTCCCACACGCCACAGGCCAGGGGTGGAGGCTGGGCTTTCGTATGGCTGCTCCGAACTCTGGGGAAGTGCTCTGATTTTATTCTCAGCACACTGGTTTCTCTACTCATTTATTCATATTTCTTTCTTTTTTTTTTTTTTTTTGAGGCGGAGTTTCGCTCTTGTCGCCCAGGCTGGAGTGCAGTGGTGCGATCTCGGCTCACCGCAGCCTCTGCCTCCTGGGTTCAAGCAATTCTCCTGCCTCAGCCTCCCTAGTAGCTGGGATTACAGGTGGCCACCACCACGCCCAGCTAATTTCTTGTAATTTTAGTAGAGACGGGGTTTCACTATGTTGGCCAGGCTGGTCTCGAACTCCTGACCTCAGGCGATCTGCCCGCCTCAGCCTCCCAAAGTGCTGGGATTACAGGCGTGAGCCACCTTGCCCAGCTCCTTTGTTCATATTTCTTAAAAACCCAAAGAACCACCCTTCCCCCTACAAACTGCCTCTGTTAACATACTTTAAGTTCTTTAAGACATTTATTTACTAAGAAGTGGTCTGGGTAGAAAAGAGGGGTTCTGCTGACCTGTCGCCTTCTCTGTGATGAGTTTCTGTGTAGCAGGAACTCATCACAGCCATCTTGTCCTTGGATGAGGACAAGATGTTTGTTACCCCACAACCAGGGAGGGTGTCGGGTGACACCCTGGGGTTCAGACCCGGCGCTCAGCACCCCTCTCCCACCGTGGGCCGCCACAGAAGCTACAATGAACCGGGTCAAAGCCAAGCGAATGAAACATGTAATGATCGTTTTGTCTTTGTCTTTCTAATTTCCCCCTATTAGAAAAAAGAACGTGAACTACTTCTTTATGGGCTCAGTCCCTACCGTGTGGGGCAGACCTGCCCTGGGTGATGAAAGCAGTTTCCCTGCCTCCCTTCAGGAAGTGGAGAAGCCGGTGCCTGGTTCCAGCCAAACGCTGGGCCAGCCAGATCAGTCGGTGGGGCCTGTGCCGGCACGCCTCGCCGCGCTCCCTGGTTCTGAAGGCGTGAGAACCTCTGCAAGTCAGGTTCCCATGATTGTATAGGATATGTTATGGCAGGGATCTGAAAACTGATGATTTCATCACTAGCTGGAAGCATCATGATCAAAACGATGACAGTTGCAAAACGTTCATCAAGTGAGAGCTGCGTCCTTGCGATACCGAAACGTCGCCTCTAGCACCTGAAACACAAGCCCTCAGAGGGGCAGGTGACTCCCTCGGGATCTAAGAAAGTGAGGACTTTAGTTTTCGAAGCAGCATTATTTCACATTGCTGATACTCTCAGGCAAATAAATAAATAACCCGTGTTGGTTAGATTTTCTCAAAAGCTTTACAGCAGGCAAGTTACGTGTAAGCTCTGCTATTAGCCAAAATAGTAATTAGGAAAATAATTGCTTTTATATTAGTATGTCTCTTTTCTAGTCAGATGTTATTATCTGAAGTTTTGAACGATTTGCCCTTTTGTTCTTGGATCAATTAGTTGACGTAAGCAGGTGTGGCAGGGAGGAAGCCCCTGGTGAGTGAGAGCATTTTGGAGTTGAATTGCTTGAAGGAAATTTGTGTAAACATGGAGTCTCGGGCAGTAGTTTTAGTAAAACCTGGATAAACTGACCTCTCAGACCTTGGATAAACTGACCTCTCAGGCTTGCACAATTTGCTAATTAAAACAGGGAGCACAGCTGCTTCAGTGTAAGCCGGGTGGAGTTCACCTGATCTATAAAACTACAGTAGTGTCAGAGGAGTAAGTGGGATAAAATTGTTGCTTTGGTAAGCTTTCAAATGATGATGTCAGCCTGTGAGTTCTGTGTCCTGCTTCAGTGAGGTTTATAAGGATGAAGAAACCAAACCCAACGGCCAGTACCTCCGGCTGTCACATCTGTCTGTGGGCACGGCGTTTAAATTGTCTCTGGTCAGTTTCTACCAGCCCGACTTTGTACTCTGGCAACTGCTGGTGTTAAATATTCCCAGAAGAGTATGTTGTTGCCCAAGCAGTGTAACCCAGAACTCTAGCTGTTTATAGTAATTTGGATTTGCATTTAGAGGTGCAGTTTTTCTCTAGAGGTGAAAAAGAAGTGCCGGGCATCTTCTCCTGGGGGAGGCATGTTTCCATTTTAGTTAATAACATGCCTGGAGAGTTGTCTATCTGTCTAGTAATAAAGCAGAGTCTCGTTCATTATCTGCTTTCATTTGAGAACTGCAGTGCTAGCATGTTTTACAGTGAAGACCTCGGTGTGATCCTGAAGGAGGGTCTCATCCTCCTCTCGATTCCCACTGGATCGGCAGGAAACGTTAGCAGGGTGGACATTCCACAGAGCTTCTAGATCTGGATCAAAGGTGGCTGTTACTGAAATACTTACGCAGACTCTTCCCTGCCTGCTGCTGGCTAACGTGTGCCCTCTCCTCCAACCCACCTCCTCTGAGCCCGCCTGACACAAAGACTTCTTTCTCCAAATCATTTCAGACCAAGCAGCCAACGTAGACAATGTCTACACTAAAGGGCATAAGAACAGTGGGGTGCAGTGGCTTAAAACATGCTCAGGATCCCGCCGAGCTTTCGCCAGGCTTTCTTGCTGTATTTACAGATGCCGTTCTGTGCCTTTCTAAGTATTTTAAATGTCGTGTGCTCAGCCGATGCACTTGGCTTCTGGAAAGTGCGCTGAGCTGAGAGCTCACTTCTCTTCCTGCTCAGCGTGCACTGGGCTGGGTGTTGGGGCGTAGCTGCCCACACAGACAGTGCTTTGAAGAGTGAGTGGTTTCGGTTGGCCACGGGGTTGTGTCTGTCTTGTTTTTAAAGTTCTAAATTGCCAATATACTGTCTTTCCAAAGGTTCCTAAATGTGGACAGTCAATGCAGCAGACAGTTGTTGGGGTGATAGTGAGAAGCTGGGATGCTTAACAAGCTTCTGAGGAGTTTGAACTTTGAAAATAGATGAGAGAAAGAGTTCTTAAAAAAAACACTTTGATAGGACACAGTGGAGGTAATTACAGTTTAACTTTATGGGACGTTTCTGTGACAGGCTGGGCGACCATGGGACGTTCCTGTGACAGGCTGGGCGACCATGGGACGTTCCTGTGACAGGCTGGGTAGTTATGGGACGTTCCTGTGACAGGCTGGGTAGTTATGGGACGTTCCTGTGACAGGCTGGGTAGTTATGGGACGTTCCTGTGACAGGCTGGGCGACCATGGGACGTTCCTGTGACAGGCTGGGCGACCATGGGACGTTCCTGTGACAGGCTGGGTAGTTATGGGACGTTCCTGTGACAGGCTGGGTGACCATGCTTATCATGTGTCCTAACCTGTGCCTGAGACTGTGCTGTAATGTTCCTTCTGGTGGTGTCCAGCTGTCTGGCAAGGAGCCTGCTGGGCTGGAGCATTGTGAAGGGCATGCTGTAATTACAATATTGTGATGTGGCATTGTTGCATAACTCAAGGACACACCATTGTCGCCTACCCACTGGGATGTCGCAAGAACGAGATTTGTGAGTTTTACTCCAATTGAGCTTTTCCAGTGATTGACTGCCCCTCCCTCCCAGCCTTTCGGCTCTTTAAAATGAAGGATAAACCTCAGGACAACCAAGACCTGGGGAAAAGACAGTCTTCGGGAATATAATTTGGAAGAATGGATCCAGAAAAACAACCAGGGGCTCTTACTCTAGTTTCGGCAGGAGATCCCGAGTTACAGACCTGAGCTCGTAAACAAACGCTCACCACTTTACAGTCACCGCCTCATCCTGAAACTCCGGTCAGAAATGCTGGAAGGCCTTTGCTACTGCGCAGTGAAGATTAGGGGCACAAATGTGGACGGATTGTGCTGGGTCAATAATTGTTCTGCTCCAAAGCAGATTTATGAGAAATTTCATGTAAGGAAAAAACCCTTTTTGTGTCTGTGTATACATGTACATGAGACTTTAACAACCAAACAGAAAACCCCTTTGGTTTGGTTTTGTTTTTGAAAGCTTATGTTCAATTTTAAACTTTATGTAAGCTTATGTACTTATTTTAAACTTTAAAAGTATTAAAAGTTAAACTAGATATTAAATTCGGCACTGTCTAATGTGCATACACCACACACTTATAATCCTAAATTCAGCTCTGTCTAATGTACATACATCACACACATACATAACCCTGAATTCAGCAGAATGTACATATACCACACACACACATATATATAACCCTCTATTCAGCCTAGTGTACATAGACCACACATACACATGTAAACCCTAAATTCAGCAGAATGTACATACACCACAAATATATATAACCCTAAATTCAGCAGAATGTATACACACCACACATATAAACCCTAAATTCAGCCTAATGTACATACACCACACATATATATGAACCCTAAATTCAGCCTAATGTACATACACCACACATATATACAACCCTAAATTCAGCCTAATGTACGTATACCACACATATTTATAAACCCTAAATTCACCCTAATGTACATATACCACACACATATGTATGACCCTTACCTCTTGTTAGCATTTATTATAGTTGGTTTTTGAGGTTAGGAACAGTTAAGCAATAATATGAATTTGTGTTGGTTTAACTTTTATGAATTTTAGGGCAGAACAAGGAGTTAATTTCCAGATAAGCTTGTTCCTGTTCTTAGAATTAAGTGTCAGCCTCATTAGAAGTTTTGTAATCGTGGTCTGCATCCCAGCCATGCACCTGCTGGGTCCTGAGTAATCCTTGAAGCCCAGAGCAAGGCAGAGCAGACACGGGGCAAACGCTGCGTTCAGCCGGGTATTTTAGATACATCTGAGAAGAGTTTTAAAATAAAACTTGAATTTGAAAAGAAATAGTAAGTACTTACCAGAGGTGGGCAGTGCTGGGATGTGGCCGGGTCTTGGTGCTGGTGGCTGGCGGTGCTCAGGAAGCAGTACCTGTTCTCACGCTTGCTTGGTGAAACTGGAGCCGGCTGTTCCAGTGGGAGGGATTTAAGTGTAGGAGTTGAGCCCTCGGGGCGTAGAGATGCACCTGATATTCCTCCTGCCCGCAGCTACAATTCATGTGTTTGCACCCACCGAGCTGCTGCAGGCAGCCTCCCCAGCACTGGACCCAGCGAGCAAGTATCTGGCAGACTCCCGGCGCCGTCTGTGAGTGCCGGGTGCGGTGTCAGTGCTGCCTGGACGGCCATGGGTCGGAGGGCTTCCGACGTGTCCGCAGTTAGAGCGTAGATTACTGTATTCATCACACCTGGTGAATATTTGGCGTTACGGCAAAGACATGTGAGACTTCCCTTTAGAACCTGAGCGTGTGTACACGGGAGGCAGACACTTCGGTTGATTCTCAAGTACACGTACCCTGGGAGGTACAGCATTCATGGCGTCCTTGCCAAGAAGGGTCCAGTGAGGCCTTTGAGGGTCTGAGTACCTTCCACCCTCTACCCTGCTCCTGAGAGTCTCTGTCCCTGGTCCTCCTCGGGAGCTGAGCTGGCAGGGAGGGAGCTCACCCGGCACCGGGCTGCAGGGACCTGCCGGAGCTTGCCCGACCGACGCCAGGCACCGCAAGAGCCGCAAGAGCTGCGGAGCCCGGTGTGTGGGTGCGGGGGAGGGGGAGGGGCCAGCTGTGAGCTCCCGCAGACCACCCCCCACACACTTTAAATTGCAGAGGCACTTGATGTGGGGACCAGTTTTTACCTCCACACCCCCTCCCCCCAGACTGCTTGCTTATTTAATCGGAGGCCGCACCCCAGCTGTAGCGAAGGCTGGAATGTGGTGTCGGTTTGAGGACTGGGAAAGGAGGTGGGATGAGCTGTTGTCAGGCCCTTGGATGAGCCTGAGGCTGCAGGGCAGAGGCTGCAGGGCAGAGGCGTAGGGACAAGCTGGCCAGGACGGACACGCTGTTTCTGTTTTTTTTTTTTTTTTGAGACGGAGTTTCGCTCTTGTCGCCCAGGCACCCGCCACCACGCCCGGCTACTTTTTTGTATTTTTACTAGAGATTTTTACCGTGTTAGCCAGGATGGTCTTGATCTCCTGCCCTTGTGATCCACCCACGTTGGCCTCCCAAAGTGCTGGGATTACAGGTGTGAGCCACCACGCCTGGCCTATTTTTTTGTTTTTGTTGTTTATTTTTTTCCTTAAGATTTTATACGGCTTTGCTTTTACTTTTATATTTAATTTTTTTTTTTTTTTTTTTTTTTTGAGACAGGGTCTTGCTCTGTCACCCAAACTGGAGTGCAGTGGTGCGATCACAGTTGGCTGTAGCTTCGAACACATGGACTAAGGTGATCCTGCTGCCTCAGCCTCCCCAGTAGCTGGGACTACAGGCGCGGTCACTATGCCTGGTGAATTTTTTGTAGATGCAGGGTTTTGCCATGTTGCCCAGGATGGTTTAATACCTTAAATTTTTTTTTTGGTGACTTTTGTCCATTGAGACATCCGTATACTTTATGAAGTAAAAAAGAGTTATGTAAGTCTTATCACAAAAAACAGCAGTTCCCTGTCCCTCTTACCTATTCCTGGATAGCAAACTATCCCAAACTTAGTGGCTTAGAATAAGTACCGTTTTATTCCGTCTTCGGATATGTTGTGTCAGGAGTTTGTGGAGGGCCTGGCTGAGTGCTCCTTCTGTTTCATGGACACTGGGGTGGCTCAGTTAGGAGAAAGCTGGCAGGTGACTGGTCTGGCGGGTCCAGGACAGCTTCACTCACCTGCCCTCTGTCATGGAGGGGCAGCTGGGATCCTGCGATCCGCTGGAACCTCATCCTCACTCAGGAGCACTTCACAGGCCTCTCTAGGAGGGTGGTCAGCTGTGTGATGGCTCAGGACTTGAAGAGAGCAAGGTGGAACGTTCCAGTCCTCCAGAAAGCTGGGCCGTGGATTGTCAGGGCGTCCCTTCTGTCGCCTTTCTCTGCCGAGGAAGCCTCATGCTGCCCAGATGCAAGGCGGGAGCCGAGGGCTCCACCTCTCAGCGGCGGGAGTGCCGGGTGTCTGCGCTACGACTCCCTCTACCCAGAAGCCCCACCTCGGCCTTTCCTGAGCTGAGTGTTCTGGTGTTTACCTCCTCGATTCCAGCCTTCCTGATTTGTCGGTGGTCTGTGCCCTCTCTCCCTCTCTCCCTCTCCCTTTTCCTCTCCCTGTCTGGGTGTTGTCTGGTGGCTTGCCTTCATGGAAGGTGGGATTTGCCTCTCTTTGCCCCTTCTGCCCCCACGCCCGCCTGCCCACCATCCAGGGGGTTTTGCCTGCCTCTCCTGCACCGGAAGCTGCTGCTTGGATCCCATGTCTTTCTCTTGAGTTAATCATTTATTTTGACATGAGGTACATACCTTTTATAGGCTCTTGAGAAAGTGCGAGAGAGTTTTTTGGAGGCCTTGAATTATTGCAAATGGTTTTATCTGCCTGACTGCTAGTTTGGCTGAGTCTGGAACTTCAGGCCAGAAATCATTGACCTTCAGAGTTTTGCAAATTTTCTCCATTTTCTGCAGCTTCTACTGCTGCGGTTGAGAACCTTGATGCCATTCAGATTCCTGATTCTTTCTCTCTCGACATTTCGTGTGAAAATTTTCAAACATATGGACAAGTTGTAAGGATGCTCCAGTGAACTCTCATATACCTAACAGCGGGGTTCTGCAGTTAGCACAGCTGTCTGCGTTCCCTTCCCTTCCCCTCGCCATCCAACTTACCCCTTCCCTTCCCCTCGCCATCCAACTTACCCCTTCCCTTCCCCTCGCCATTCAACTTACCCTTCCCTTGCCCTCGCCATCCCGCTTACTTATCTTGCTGCATTTCAGGTCAGTTGCAGACATCAGTCTGCGTTGCTCCAAACACTTTGCAGGCATATTCTTATTAGTTTGTGATTCTTCTTTCAAAGGTAAGGTTTACATTCAGTGAAGGGCACAGGTCTTAAGAGGACCATTTAACGAGTTTTGACAAACATGTTCTCCCATTATGGCCCCAGAGAGCACCGTCACACCGATGCCACCCTTCCCCACCCAGACCGTGGCAACTGCAGGCTGATACTTTTCCACCATGGATTAGTTTTATGTATTGTAGGATTTTATGTCAGTAGTGGTTCCTGGTTTTTATGTACAGCTGTTTCTCACCTGCAGGTTCTTTCCTTTATCCTCAGTAGTCTTAGTTTTCTTAACTTTATATTCCAACACTTCTGTTAAGTATTTGATTCCTCATTTTGGTTTCCATGAGCTCTGTTTTGTTCTGAGTGTTCCTTTTGTAGCATCTCATCCTCATGCAGTAGTTGCAGTAGCTTTTCTTATCCTTCCTAAGGATTTTAGTGATAGCTTTCTTTTAGTGGGGGGTGGAGGAGTGGGGGTGGATGTTCTCCGTGTGTGTGTGTGTGTGTGTGTGTGTGTGTGTGTGTGTGTGTGTTTAAAGACCTGGGGTCTCGCCGTGTTACCCAGGCTGGACTGGAACTCCTGGTCTCAAGGGCTTCTCCTGCCCCAGCCTCCCGGGTAGCCGGGACTGCAGGAGTGCCATGCTGTGCCTGGTGCCTTCCCTGCATCTTCAGCATGGCCTCTGCCGAGCACCTCGGGGAGTCAGCCCTGTCTCCTGCAGAGGTGGGAGGCCTGCCCCCAGTGCTTCTTGGGTTAGGCCTACCGTGCCCCACCCCCCCGAGTTCTGTGGTGCCACAGACCTGGAGCTTTGTAGGTTCCTGTCCTGTGGATCAGGGGCAGTGTGGGTTTCCTTCCTCCAGGAGAGGGCTGGGCTTCTCGGTCTGAGGCGTTTCCTGCTGTCCCTGCACTTCCAGGCTCCTCCGTGGTCCTGGTGCTGCCTTTCCTGCCCTTCCTCTTCTACCCTGTAGCTTATGCCTTGAAAAAAGAAAATGGTCCGTTTCTGCTGTTTTTAGTGGGATTTTACCCACTATTTTTTATGTGTTCAACCCCCTATGTTACTCAGAAGTCTTGTGATTAGGTTTTTGACCAAATCTTAGGAACTGTCATGGGGGTGGCCGCTGGTGTTTCTTGCGTGTTCATGGTGTCGGGGCCAAGTGCACCACCTGTGCTGGTCCGTTCACTCAGGAGCACCAAGCACCTGGCCCGTGGAGTCCCCTCACATGTCTGTTTACTCAGGAGCACCAAGCACCTGGCCCGTGGAGTCCCTCCACACGTCCATTTACTCAGGAGCACCACGCACCTGACCCGTGGAGAACACACAGGTCGGGAACATGGCCGAGGTACCCAGCCCAGAGAGCGATGAGCAGAATTACACCAGATGTGGGGGGTGCTTCCCTGCGGTTGCAGACCCTGGGTGGGGAGGGAGCGGTACCTGGGGCGGTGGCTGCTCTTGGGGATAAGCCCTGGTGCCAGTGTGTTGGGGGGTGCCAGGAACACAGCAGGTGCTGGCGTTGCTGCCTCTGTGTCAGGGTCTCTCTCTCTAGGGGCACACAGGCTGGAAGCGCAGTCCTAGTTGAGCTTTCCTAGTTTCCAGGTGGGGGGATGAGGCACAGGACATGGCCAGCTCAGCCCCTTCCTCTCAGTCCTGTCCAACTCGGCCCCATCTTCTCTGTCCGTCCTGTCCAGCTTGGCCCCTTCTCTCCATCCTGTCCGGCCTGGCCCCTTTCTCTCCATCCTGTCCAGCTCGGCCCCTTCCTTTCCGTCCATCCTGTCTGGCCTGGCCCCTTCCTCTCCATCCTGCCCAGCCCACCCCGGTCCCTTTGAAGCATCATCCTCTCCAGCACTGTGTGCTGGGACTCAAGTCTCGGCTCTTCCATCTTCACCCTTTGTGACTTGGGGCAGCAATCACTGACCTCCCTGGGCCTCTGTCTTACCATCCGTGGAAGGGACTTGTGAGCGTCTCACGGAACACCTGAGGTGAAGGAAGGGCGTCGGCCTCCGTCCTACCGTCCGTGAAGGGGACTTGTGAGCGTCTCTCACAGGACACCTGAGGTGAAGGAAGCGCGTCACATCTTTGACCTTCTTAAAATGCAAGATTGTTTTTGATTTAATCCTTTGTGTTCCTTGTGGGGTGCTGCATCCAGAGGAAAGGAGAAAGGAAATGGAAACTCTGCAGAAAATCCAGAGGCCTGGCATCAGGCTCCCAGTCTGATTTTGCCACGGCTGTACGGGAGACGCAGCAACGTCCTGTCCCCTGAGGGCACGGCTTCAGGAACAGCTCCGGGCCTGAGGGTGCCTCTCGCCTGGCGGTGTCTCAGGCCTCTGCCCTCCTAAAGGGACTCAGGCCAGTGGGCGGGACTGTGGGATGGGACCGGGAGGCTGAGGGGGTGAGGGGTGGCGGGCAGGCTCCGGCTTCCCTTCCCAACCAGACTCTAGATCTGGGGGCAGGGCATCCTGGGTCTGTCGGCCGAGCGCATGTTAAGAGGAGGAGGAACAGAAGGCGTAGGAACCCCCACAGGCCTGTCATGTCTCCTGCCCTCCCCTGACCTGCATCCAGCTCTTAAGGGGTTTGGAGTACTTGCCCCTCCCCTTCCTTTGGAAAGTGTTTCT